TTTTCTCTTTCTTTCTGCATGACTTACCATCTTCAGCTAGTATCAATTTTATCAAATATGCTGATGACCTGACAGTTCCTATACCTGTCTCCTCTTCAACATATTGTTTCCAACTGAATGATTTCTTATCTACTGTTAGAAGATCGTCCTCCGTGAATGGTCTTATGCCTAATTCCTTGAAATGTCAGACTGTAAATTTTAGTTTAGACGTGAACATAGCCTGTGTAAACTGCTTAGTTTTCATGATTCCGATCCTATTGATAGTTGTGCACTGGAAAATGTTACAACTGTGATTTATCTCGGTATGTTTTTCTCCGGACCTTTCCTGGTCCTCCTATATCCTAATCACTTCCAAAAGAATCTCCTGCCTAACTTTCTATATTAGGAAGCTGAGAGTATCTGGTATAACTCAGCCTCTTCTCTTGTGTTCTATAAACTCCTGCATCTTGTCTGTTTTCCCCTATTGTTCTCTTTTATTTTTTTCTCGAGTTGCTGAAAAAAGATTATGCTATATTGCTTAGGACTTTGAAGATTGTCAGGAGAACGAGTGGTGTACCTCCAAACCTCTTAGATAAAAAAACCGTTGTGAACAAACATCTTAATTCATGTAAACATCTGACAGGAGTTATTTTATCAGATGATTAGAATCTTCTTCACTTCAAGGTCTCTGCGTGTCAGTCATCAGGAAAGACAAGGAGCGAGTACATAAGACTTTATGCAAGTACTACGAAATATAAAAACTCTATGACAGCGTATTTAGTTCATGTCCTGTGCGATGAAGAGGATAGTAAAAAGAACTAACTAATCAACTTCCGTTTTTGAAAGCAAATTAATTAAAGATCACACAGCTTGTTATTATCCGTGTACTATGAATCTAAATCCTAATGCGATTGTCTACCTAAATTAACTATGCATTTTCAAGAAAGTTGTAGATGAAGTGAATATTCTTATCTTTTAATGTATACATATACACTATTTCTGACTAACTGATGCTGAAAAATCTATGCAGAAATCCCGAAATAGCTTTCAGAATAAAGCCATTATTGTTATTATTATCTTTCTTCCCATGGTCAGAGTTTGCATCTTAGACGAAATGCTTTCAACAACCCTATGCGCATTCGTGCAGTCAGTCAAACTTATTGTGTAAGGACTTCTAATGATACTGCCTGACTGCCCAAACCTCGAAAGGTGGAGTGGGGTTTAGTATCTAAACCAGTTATCTACAACTGCACAAGGTATTTTCTAGCAAATTACTGTTGGTCACTTATGGACATTTTTTTTATGCTAAAATAACCATTCTCATCATATTCACATTATTCTTCTGCTTCACGCTTTTGTTCATCATTATTTATTTTCCTCTCAAAAATGTTATATCAGATCATGTGAGTACGAATCTTGTAAACAGTTTCATGAAGCCTAATGAATCCAGAAGTAAGGATTGCGATAGTTTAAATGAACAAGAATTGTTACAACACTTCAAGGAACAATATCGAGCAGATCGTTTACAAGGCAAGTTGTCTAATCCTATTCTTAACTTATCAGTGAATAAAACAAACCAAGTTAATAAAAGTATTGAGCTGTATTTATTACTTTGCAAAGAGTTTTCCATTTTCTTTTTGAGTACTTTCTAGATTTCAGGATAAAAATTTGAGAATAAGTTGAGCGTCAGGTTAAGTAGTGTTTATGCGAAAAATGTACTCGTAAAATTCCCAATCAAATAGAAAAATCAATTTTCAGTCCATCAAGTCCCTGATTGTCGGGTCTGGGTTGTGTAGGGTGATGTAGACTACCTGACTGGAACACCCGAAATGATAGGAATCTGTGGTTGAGAAATCTTGGTGAAATGGCTGACAGTGGCACAGTTGTATTCACTTTTTGGTTTCTACAAGTTGAATGTTTTGACTAACCTTAATGTTTAAATTCCCCGTCCCCTTATACATCTTTGATAACAGTCCTTTCTTAGACTTGTTCATTGTATGGCTACTGTGAAGTGTGATAACTTGAACCGATGCACTGCTTTGGGAGGTTCTACGTTGATTTTGTCTGTTTGTGTTCAGATATGCACATAATACCAATAACAAGATAGGATTAAATATTATCGTAACCAGTTTTTAGTCCATGGGTTCAAAGTAAATATGTAAATGGGTATGTATCAATTTGAGAGATGTAATGTGAATGAGAAATTCGCTTTATCTGGACGTATATGTATTTAAGTTGCGATTAGTATGTACAACGAGGACTCTTAAAGCCGTCCTAGCGACCGCTAATCAATAGAGTTTCCGTATTTTCACTTCGATGGCATTTTTTTCCATAAACTGGAGCAACCTAATTAGTTATCTTACCAGTTGCTAGGATGGCCTTCAGATGTCCTATTCAAGTTGATCCCTTATTTGGACCTTCCTTTTTCTGTTGAGACCATTAGGATTCTACATAATGTGAAATATCTCAGCTATCCGTCTTTTTTTGAAGTTAAAAAATCCTTTCTGAATAATTTTAATGTTTTCAATGTCAATTTTGCGGATTCGGGTTAATGAGATAAACAGTAGTTGCAGATTCAATTCCATTTTAGAAGTGACTTCCTCGAGGTCTAAAATCTGTGTATTTCATAAATGGTGGGAGTCTTACCTCTTGTCTACTGAAGTATTGTTAACCAGCCAGTTGTAGTCACACATTCACCAGTTGAGAATTTTCAAACATTTCTATCTTATTGTTGATACCATCTCCCTGACACAGCATATTAAATGAGTGACGGTTCAAAAGTGTATTAGTGTTCTTTATATAACCTTCCCTAAAAAAATATATTGTGCTGACTTCGTTGAGATATTACTTCCATCTGGCAAATGATTTTAGACAACACCTATTAACGGTCCACCAATAGGAATAGAAATCTAAAATATTAAAGCCCGTATTCTCTGATATTGATCTGTTGTTCATCCGTTTAGTCAGATGACTTTTAACATCTAGGTCACAGGTTCGAGCCCTGGTTGGTCTAACGAGATTTGGGCAGCCAGGTAGTAGTAGGTAGTATTAGCCCTCACACCGTAGACATGGGTCATTGCCTAGTGCAAGAATATGTACTTGGTTGTGAAGAAAGTGTTTATTTCTTTTGTTTAGTGTTCTTTATTACGCAGTTTTTTTTTCTGTAAACTGATTTCGAGTATCCGTTGAAGAACCAACTTTTATGGTAGTAGGAATAAAGCACAGGTGGAATAGAACAGGTATCCGTTTAAGTTTTCACATAGTTTTGGTCTTGTTTTTAGAAAAAAATTATAATGAGTTGGATTACTGGAGTCACCAGCCGTGAGCTTAATTATATGCATCTTAAACGTCCTCATTATTTAGAGCAGTTTTCAGTTAGAAATGTAATGATCGAGGAATATATGTCCTATAACGCCCTAAACCTTTGTCTGAACTGATTTTAGTTGCGTTGGTGGTTGTGTAGCACTAAACCTAGTAATTTACTAAGTTATGCGTGCAAATTAAATGTGTAGTTTGATTTACACCGGATTTTTTCCTGGATCATAACACCCTACATCCACGGTCTACGTCAACTTATACCATCCACCTAGCTTAATCGAATTTCAGCATCTGATAAACATTGCTCACTCTGTTTGCTGTAAACATCTTGATTCTGACTGCAGTATATGTTGTTTTTTTTACTTCACTTGTTTATCTCTTAGATAAATCCAGCAAGCTTTCATCTAGGCAACAGGATTATAAAATTGGTGACAATTTTATGATAAAAAACTTCGTGTTTTATTCATATTTATTTGTTACCATGATGATCATTGGAGCGAATAACTAGAGTCCATAGAATTATCTAGTCAATTCATTAAAATCAGACCATAGACTTTACTCACCTTAAAATGAGTGTGTTGGTGCTAATATCGTGGAAAAATTTTTTTTTGTGTGTAAATGTTATTGCATTCAGTTATGTTTATTTCAAAAGGTAAATTTTCATTCAACTTATACTATTGGCATAGTAATCTCTGCATATCCAGAAATTCAACTGTCATCGTTACTAACCCGAGGTCTGTCTGTAAAACTACTTAATGTTATCAGGCCTCACTGCCTTCTGCAGGAACATGCACATGATTGGATTTCTATTTTCTGCTTTGTTTCATTGCGACTGCGTATTGATGGGTAGATGAGTTAATTCCCGATTAATTGATGGGAATCAGATCACCTGCGGATATTTTATCACTAAATGCTTACCTTACCACAGTAAGGTTAATAAAATAAAGAACCTGGTACAACTGTCTGTATCTTTTACTTGACTGAATTACAAGTAACTTATTATGCGAAGCATTAGTGTGTATTATTTTTGGGGGATAGAGGATAGAAAATTGGTCGATTATTGACCGACTAAATCTTCATACGAACACAAAAGGCTTGATTGACTTTCACTAACATACACCATTTATAGCCCTACCGCGATATCCGATTCTTTATTAGGGATCGAGGTCAATGTACTACTGTTTTATTTGTTCTATTATACAGTTGTGAAATATGACCATTAAAAATAAAGGAAATGAGAAGGCTTCAATTGTTTGACCTCCGTCACCTTCTTAGCATAGGCGATATGTCGTAGTATCACTGTGGGAATAACGCAGAAGTCACTTGGTTAGTTTGTGAACCTTCTTAGACTCAGGAGACTGGGACACTTGTTATGCATGCTTAGTCGTCATCTGCCGCGTCATACAATGTTAGCTGAAGCAGGTTTAGACTGGAAAAAGGTTAGGGATGACCAAATTATAAAGCATACTGAATTTCACTATTCTCTCACTTCTCCTCGCTCTCTTCTCATGACTTTCTACCACTTTTAAGTACTCTCTTCTTTCTTTGCTTATCTTTCATTGTGTTGCATTCTCCCCTTGATGTACCGATATGAATTGTGGCAACTAGGATCGTTACACTGTACTGTCAGGTCCTATGTTGATTTCATCTATCTGTTAAATCTGCATGTACTTTATTGTTTTCTTATTTCGTTTTATTTTTAGCCACATCACGCCTGTCTCATCATTCCTCACTTCTTTTCAATATGAATCTTAAAGAAAATTCAAGCATATCAGACACAAATTTAATCAAGACAACTTCACTGGAAGATAATTCAGGTGTTAAACGAACTGTTCGTAATGATCGACTGACAAATTTCGATGCAGTTGAAGATGAATTAGATAATATTGTATCCAACTATAATGTAGTAATCAGTGAAGAACAACAAGAAAGTTTGTCTAGAAATGAATTGTTAAGCAATGCTACAACAAAAGTATTATCAAATAATCCAAGTGGAACAAATGAATCAACTATCAGATTAGAAGATTTAGCAAATCTAACCAACTTGGCAAATGAATTGGACTCTAATCAAGCGCATGCAGTAGCTGTGGCAATGGATAATTTAGACGGTATGGGTGATTGTATTACAAACAAATCAAAAGAAAAGATTTCCAGTACTCCGACTACAAATACATCATTACCAAATTCTACAACATGGACAGCTAAGTATACACTTCGTAGTCATTTTGATGCTATCCGAGGGATCACTTTTCATCCAAATGAACCAGTTTTGGTTACATGCAGTGAAGATCATACACTGAAACTGTGGAATTTAAATAAAACTATTCAAACTAAAAAATCCTCTATATTTGATGTTGAACCAGTAAGTGATTATCAAAATGAAAGTATTCCCCTTTTCATTTGTTTTGTTTTAGAAATTTTGAGCTACTACTTAGGTTTATAAGTTTCATTCGTAGGCAATAAGGCGAAATAATTTATCCGAGTTGTTTGATTTATTGACACAACACTTTTCAATCAGTCATATTACGCACATTTTTTTCATATGTAAGATAATGAAAAATAGAGAGTCAAAGAAGACGAATTTTTGTAGGATCCCGCACATACTGAGCAACCGCCTACCTTGACTTCTCATGCTAACGGAAGTTGGATCAGGTTGGAAAAGGGTTAAGGGTGACCAGACCAAGACCTAGTATCAGTCCATGAAATCTTTAACTGTCGATGTGAGTCGTATGGGGGAGATGTAGACTACTTGACTGATGTCCCCAAGATGATAGGAGTGAGTGGTTGAGGACTGACTTTTGTTGACATGATTGAAAATCAGTTACAATGGGACAGCTGTATTCACTCTTTGATGTCTTTTGAAGCTTGAAGATTTACACTAACCTTCATCTTCAAGTTGATTATTCTCTCACGCAATTTTGTAAACTTTGATGTGAATCTTCTTCTATCTACCTGTTCTTTGTATACTACTGTGAAGTTTGGCAGCTTGAACAAATGCACTTGTGTTCGAGGTTCTATGTTGATTTTGTCTGTCTGCCTCTGTTGTACTTTGCATTCAACTTGAGACAGGTCAATTAAATATCTCTGCATCACACTGAACACAGTATCTGTCTTTTTAAACACTAGAGCGTTGTCCACCAGGATATCGATTCACAATAGTTATCTTCTTTGTTGCCTCTAAGTAGTTGTGACTCAATACCAAAAGGTATCCCCCCTCCAGAAAACATTTTACATGGTACGATTACCTTTAGTTAAATAAAATAATACACTAAGTAGTGATGTATGTTTAATAAATTTCTATCTAAATTTGTAATGTATACTCATGGTGATTAGCACGCAAATTTATTCGGACTAACTTCCTGTCCATATTAGATTGAACTCATCAGTGGTGTATTCCATTTGATTCCAACTTCTACTGGTCTAGTTATGTGACGCTTTTATGGGAATACGATTTTTGAAAACTTTCGACTCGATTTCTTTTATGTAATGCTTTATGACATATGAATGTTGAGGTACACATAAACATCCAACTGAAAAAATGCAGTCTCACTACCCCTACTCAAATAATCTTTCTTATTTCGAATATCTGTTACAAAGAAAATATGAAACCGACCTTATCTTTTAATTTCTATCAAGAAAATTAAATGATGTAGGCAGTGAGCCACACCTATTGTGCGAGGGCTAGTGATACTATTTGGCTATGGAGCTGTGGCTCAGTGGTATAAGGAGATGACTATCAACCATTGGATCGCGGGTTTGAGCCCTTACTCCACTTACCGAGGTTTGGGCAGCTAGGTAGTATAACTAGCTCTTACATAATAGGCGTGGTTCATTGCCTACTGCATGGATGCTCTAAAGGTAGTTGAGTACATTTCGTTTAAGTGATGTAATAAACACACACAGAGATTAGATAAACATAGAACCTCCCACACAAATGTATGGGTTCACTTTGCGACACTTCACAGTAGCAAACAAAAACCAAATGGATAAAAAGAGTAATATTAAAGTAGGAAAAAGCATATGGAACGAGAAATAATTAAACAAATTAAGAATAATGTGAATGTTCAAACTTGTAAAGACGTTAAATAGTGAATACATGTAAGTCATTGTGACTGACTTTTCAACCAATAATTCCTCTTATTATCTTGCGGACCCCAACCAGGCAGTCTACACCCTTCTACGGGACCCAGACTGGCAGTCAGAGATTTCATGGATTGTTACTAATTCTTTCTCTGTTAACCCTAAACCTCCTTCCAATTCAATCCGAATCTTCATAGCATTGCACGTTGATGTAGACAATGACTCGGCATGCACAACAAATGTTCATGACACCTCAGTCGCTGAAGGTTCGAAACCTCATCGATCGATTTGCCTGTCCTACCTAGTACACTTCGCCTAACCTCTCCATCATTCACCCGGTGATTCCACGACACACGATCAATGATATGAAGACAACTATGGCTGAAAACTTGTAGTTTGCTCATATCTCAACGGCCATACCTCACAGGCGTATAGTACAGCGCAGACTCTGCTTCTCAGTATACTCGTCTGCTGATAGATAGTCGGATATCTCACCAGCTGGGACCAGAGATGATACAATCTGGTAAATACAAAACGACACTTTCTGTATCCGAGCTAAGATTTCGTCGGGACGCAACCCGTTTGGGCTGATGTGAGTCGCCAAGTAAAGTGGTCGACGCATTCCACCACTGCACTCTATATCATTAAACTGGGAGTAGCTACATATGGGTCGTTAAGCATGAGTGACATCAAAGTATATGAAGTTGTGTGAGAGAATAAGCAATTTGAAGATAGAGGTTATTGCGAATGTTCAAGCTTCAGATGACGTCAAGGAGTGAATGCATCTACGCCATTGTGATCGATTTTCAACCATGTTATCAAGAAACCTCAACCACTGGCTCCATTCAATCCCGATCTACGTCTCCCAACATGACTTAGACCAACAGTCAGGGTAGTCATTGACTGGTGCCAGGTCTTGGTCTGGTCACTCTGAAAAAATATAGCGTTACAATGTAAGGTTAGTATCACTAGTAAAAACTTGACAAGCCTTTTATTATGCTTCGAAATCCCAATAAAAATCTAAGGAAACAATTGAAAGTGTGTTCATCTAATATCTAAAAAATGATATTCCTTGACTCATTTGAAACTAATTTTATCTTTTTAATGCCACTAAAGTAAATTGGACGTTTGCTGAATTCAAAATGGGGTAACTCATGGCGACCGTAGATTTACAATCCTACTAACTAGTTTGAAGTCTTTATTGGTGCAATCTTAGCCTGGTTTCTGACTTCCATTTCTACATCCCTACAAGTTAATTGGTTATTAAATAAGAATTTCACTCACAGCTCGTCTTAAAATGATATTAGCATGATATTATACATTGTGATACGATCATACCTAGTCCTTCGAAGATTGAAGGGGAAGTTTTCAAAGTTCATTCCCCAACTTATGTCACTCTCCGATTTCGTTCTACTTTTCAGTAAGAAAATTGTATTTTTCCACTAGTGCATCAAATAAAAGTAGAAAAATAGCAAACGCTAATGGAACAATCTTAGAGCAGAATACAATGAAACACTTTCAAAACCCTGTGTTCTCGGTAGCCAAATTTTCGAGCTTTTCTTTCCCTCTTCAAAAACAACTCACAGTGTATTTCTTTTGAGGATTCAAAAGAGAAGCTAGACTAGCGTCGCAGAGTGAAAATTTATGAAGGGAAGCAGGTTTTTAAGTTACCATCTGTAAGATAGTAGAAGGTTTGGTTGAAAAACACATTAGATTGAAATCCATTTCTAACCTGTTGAAGACTTGGGTTTTAACTGACAAGTTTATAAATCTTCATCAACAATATGATGGTTGAAACATGTGTTACTCATACTTGCCTCAATTCACTAATCTATCTAGAGTAGGAGCTGAAGCGTTATTAAGCTTGAACATCGTTGGGATAGCAGAAGTCTTAACTCGCAGTTTTCCGGTGAGTTACTGCAGTAAGCAAGCCCAACCGCCACTCCATAGTGGTGTAACAGCTCTGGTCATGAATGATAAAAATGTCTTTCCAATAAACTTTTTAAACTATATAGTGGATTTTTGACTTTTTTTGTCGAATTCATGAAGTGGTTGCTTCCCTTCAAATCTGCTCATTGTTGAGCTGTAGCTTATTTGTCTAGTCACTCAAGTTCCAAACAGTGAGTAACGGGTTCGAAATTTACCCATCTACTTGGGCGACTAAGTAGGTAGCTCTCACAATAGATGTGGCCCATTACGTAAGACATGGAGGTGTACACATAGTGGTTCAGTTGTATTTCATCTTGTTGTGCTATATCAAATTTTCGGTAAACTTACTGTCAGCTGTATATATCAATGGTGATTATTATTCCAACTAGTTGATTGACCTTGGCAGCCTGCTTAAGTTTTAGACTACCAAAAGTTTTCTAATGAACATATCACATTATTATCATTATTCCCTTTCAATTTGTTTTAATCTTTTAAATATGTCTTCTAAACGTATCATGTACTCTCGCACATTTTTAAAATATTTTCAACCATCTGTTTTTTAAGATAGCAACAAAATGAGGAGAAACCATTAAGGTAGATGGGAGTAGACTTTAAAATAAACAAAAATACGTTATATTACTATTCCCAAGTTACTTAGCTGGAATTGCAGATTTTTGAACTGGCTGAACGGGGACCACCGCCACCAAACTTACGGTCTCCAATGCACTTTTCTACTCATTCCTCCATTCTAGATCAGGCGCTAATCTAGCATCAGCTGGCTCTTTCATATTATTGCCTTTTTTTTACTGTTATCAGTAACATTATTCAAATACTATGATTATTTCGTTTAAAAATATGTTAAGAGGAGTGAAATTGTTGAAATATGACATGCTGTATTAAGCATGTTGTTTGGAATTAAGCGATCATTATTTTATTGGCTGGATATAGCTGCATCCCAGTGTGATTGGATCACAACTCTCGTCTCTTCAAACGTCAGAAAATTATCTGTTAGGTTACTGAGTCACAGCAGCCAGTGGTTGCACAGTTCTTATTTTATTTATACTTTTACTTACTCGTTGACTGTTAGCTGGAGCACCACCTTTCATTAGGAGGATGTAATTAAGTAAATTCATCTGACGAATCCCAAATAGGTCGAAACATACATCTTGGATCCTGCTGCTAGCTACCACCAATCGAATTACATAGTTAATTTTTAGGTATTATCGAAGCATCTGCATAGGGGCGCTCACATGCTAACAGAGATGAATAGATTTGGTCTAGCATGTGCCAATCAATGGGGAGGTACAAGTATCGATAAAATAACATTCCTTAGATGCGCATTTTTTTTCTTACTTTTATTGAGTAATCGATAAATTACGGTGTTCATTTAGAATTGCATGAATCATGCACACTTATATATTACGAGCATGTTTTAGAAAGAATGCATGCCTTAATGGAAAATTAAAGTGTTATGCATATGTCAAATAGTGCAGTCTTCGATTTATGACAAATATTTTTGCTTGAAATGCGCAAAAAAAAATATTATAACTGTACATGTTAAACAGTTTAGTGGTTGATATGAGGAAAAAAAATCATAAACACCATTCCATTATGTTAGATAATTCCTGCATTCAGCAAAGAAAATTTTCGACTATATCATTTTCTAAAGCTGTGCAAAATCGTAATTATGTATATCAAACAATGAGGTAAAGGTGCATCATTAGTCTACCGTAAAGACTAAAGTAAAAAGTGGGGAGGTGTTGCGTAATAATCTACCAAACAATGCCAATAACGAGAAAGGAGAGGAGTTTGACCAGGTGAAAATTGCTGGTAGATGTGATGTGTGTTCTATGTCTACTTGATCAATGTAAAGAAGGTGAAGGAAAAGAAACAGAGATCACAATAAAGGTAATAATAGTACGCTATTTAAAACAATTATTTCCCTTCATAAACTTCGACAAAACAATGAGAAGACGTAAAATGTCTGAACTGTGTAATGTATTTGCGTAACACATTTCGAACAATATAATCACACACGTACTTGTTATAGGTTTTTATATGAAAATTTATAGAGATAAGGCGTGAGAATTTGAAAGGAGGTCAGATAGGAAGGCTAAATGAAATGGCAAACAATAATGAGAACCAATGGAACGGAAATAATAGTACATCGAACTTGGTCTCAGAATTGAAGTCATGAAGGAAGATTTAATGTAATGACAAATTGTTTTTGAACACACTAAGTTGATTTAAACTTTCTAATAGCTAAGACATCGACAAATTTAAGGATCCGTCTCCAAACCGGTTTTGTGAATAGGTGTAAAGGATATGGAAACATCAATCCCGTGACATGTCTCGACGATACGTTTCGCAATACAAGAACTTGGATGTCTGCTACCAACGTTTATGCGTTCAGATGATTCGATTTGCTTTTCAAACCCTTCTCGGAATATGTTCCGAGGCCCTTACTTGCATGGATCTACAAGTTCTCTCTGTGACGTGTTTTACCACAGACAGACAGAATCAAGACACAACCTTGCACACTGGTGCATCGGTCCAAGTTGCCACACTTGATAGTACTATACAAACAATAGGTGGATGGACAAAGACTGATATCAAAGTAAATAAAATTGTGTGACAATAAAAAAAAAATTGAGGATGAAGGTTCAAGCTTTAGAAGACACCAAAGAGTGAATATTTCCGCAAACTTGTGACCCATTTACAGTCATGTCACCAAGAGTCTTCCACCTCCCTGAAACCCTCCTCCAACTTCTCCTAGCACGGCACGTCGGTGATTCGGCATGCACAGTATATGTCTGAGCCACCCCAGTCTATGGAGGTTCACAACCTTATCAATCTACTTGCCTATCTTGCATAGTACCCTTCTCCTGACTTCACCATTGATCATACGGTGATTCCACCAAACGCGATCCATATTACACAGACAACTGTGATCAAATACCTTTAACCACCTTATGTCTTCTACTTCTAACGGCCATGTATCAATCGTATACCAGGACAGAACAGACTGTAACGTAATATACTTTCCTTTGATAGATAGTCGGGTATCGCACCAATGAGAGTCACAGATGATACGGGCTGACAAATGCCAAATGAGCCTTCTGTATCCGAGCTGAGATTTCGTGTCACCACACGACATCTAGTTTTTTGTGTCATTTATACTCAAAATCAAAACTATTGTATATGTTTCACCTTCATTCTTTGTTTGATATCATTTCCTTAAAGTTTTCCAGAGGTTTCTTTATTTATTTACAGATATACACATTTCGTGGTCATAATTCACCAGTCCTATCAATCACTATGCTTGTCGGTTTATCCAAAACTGAGAGTTCATGTCAATCTGGATTACTATCACCTGCTTACATATATTCTGGTGACTTATCAGGTTGTATACGTAGCTGGTGTGTACCCAGTTTACAATTAGATCCTTATGATACTTTTGATTTATCAATAATGCGTCCTTCTCTTGAAGGTCATACGGATGCTGTTTGGTCACTTTGTTCACGTGTAAGTTATTTTCAAACTTTTATTTTGAAGTAACTATATGTAAATTATTTGAACGAAGAACCTTTTTAACAAATTATTATTGAGCCATGATTGACAATGAAATGAAAATATGGGCTGCAGCAGGATTCGAACCAGCGATCATCGGGTTTCCGCCCATTTCTCTATCAACAACTGAGCTACGAGACTCGGCTCCTGACCAAATTTTTTATTCTACTTCAATCACTAAGGGTTTTGCTCGTTTGGTTAGCTCAACTGGTAGAGCACCAGGCCGAAAACCCAGTGGTCGCTGGTCTAAATCCTGCTCCGGTCCAGATTTTCACTTCACCTTCAATCATCACATAGTATCGATATAAGTGGCAAATCACAGCTATCTCAGATAATCAAACTAATAATTCATAATGTGCCTTTTTCCTCTTAATAATGAGTAAAAATGACATTTTATATATCGCACTTTGTTCTTACCATTTAAAACTGAAAATCAGATGACAACAGCACTAACAGTTAATCTCTCTCTCATAGAAAACATAAATATAATTAGATGACTAAAATTGTTCACTACGGTTGTCAAATTCCAGATGAATGTTATAAAAGTGAAACTGATTTCAGACTAAAGATGAATACGCGTTTACTTTGGGTGATGTTTGGATTCGACTAGCAATCTGAATAGCTGGTGTTATGCCTTCATTTGCAAATATCTATTTTATCCACCAGAGATGTTTTTTTTTCAAATTAATTCATTGATCTTGGCGAAAGTGCTATGACCGGCAGTGCGACACAACAGTCTACGAGCAATATAAACTCAACGCGCAAATGAATCAACTCTAACGCTAAAAAAGCATCAACCACCGCAATAATTCTGACATGTGAAGACAAGAAGAGAAGACGGAGTGTTGACAGAGAGCTTTTACTGTCCCAACAACAGTCAAAAACAGTTGAGAGTGATGCTGAATGTATACATTTCTTAAACGACCTTGACAACACTAAATCCACATGTAGGTTAAAAGAGTGAACAACCAATGAGGGTTCAGCCTTCAGAGCAGTGGGAAAACAAAAGCTACCAACGGTTTGAAAACAGGAATGATAAGTTATTTTAAAATTATAGGCAAACATCAGGCAAAAGTTCTTGACCAATTTTCGCTGATTTTTATGAAAATCAAGAAATCTGTGTGGGGGGGAGGGGAATTTGTCCAACTGTTGCCGGCAAATTGTAGTTCAAAACAACAAGGAAGGTCGGCATTAATCAAGTCAGACATGTTTTTCTTCTGGTGGTGAGACAGAAACTGTCATGAAGATGGCGTCATATCCCATTGTATTTGTTATTTGTAAAATATACTTGTAATCACACATACTTAGGTATAACTCAGCAACCACAGAGAATAAGAACGACGGAACACATTCTAAAGTGACTTCAAGGACAAGTAGAGTCGCCTGGAAACAAACATCTGAGCTCATAAATCGTTAAACATTTTATTGAAACGCAGCATAGAATGGATATATATAAGCGTCATTTAAGCCCCTGTTGAGGACGTACTTTCAAGTTTATGGAAGCATTGGGTGTTCAAAGACAGTTAGTCATCTCACTAAACTTTCCTTGGTAAATTCAGTTTCGAACTTGAAATTCTTAAAACGACCTACTGGTTTCAAATTTTTGTTCACTTGCTCATACTGTTCTATTCAGTTTCAACCGAGGCTATAAAGAGATAATTGTGAATACAAGATTACAAGTTAAATATGAACGAAGAATATTCTTTTCAATAACTTCTCATCAGGTTCTACAATCACAAAATCAAAATTTCATCATAATAATAACCCCTTTATTCCAAACAATATGTATCAGAGTATGGGATTCTCAGCATGTAATTTTTCAACAAATTCACTGCCAGAACAATATTTTCAGTCGAAATGGTTATTGCATCTACATGATGTTAATAGTAACAGTATTCAAGGCAACAATGTGAAGTAGCCAGCTAGTTCTGGATGGACATCTGATCCATAATGACGAATCAACAGAAATACAGGCGTAGTTTTGGTGGTGGTGGTTCATTCATACTGTACAAATATCTGCAACTCAAGCTAAGCATCTGACAGATAGAAATATGTACTTTATGGGCTCGACCCCTGGCGGTCGTTGTGCCCACTGCTGAAAAGTCCCATACTAGGAGGAAACAGCTGTCAAGCGCCCTCAGGTTTCCATTGTTCCTCCAACTGATATCAGTCCATGATGAATACCAACTTGAAAAATCTCTAAATCCCCACAAACCCCCAAATTCAAAAGTTGGATTAGGTTTGGCGTATGGTTCAGGTTGACACTAGTGCATAAAGTCCCTGACTGTTGTCCTGGGCCGTGTGTAAGAGATGTAAACTACTTGTCTTGGGTCTCTTAGACGATCTGAATCAGTAGTTAAAGGCTCTTGGTGACGGCTGAAAGTTGGTCACAATGGCATAGATGTATTCCCTCTGATGTTTTCTAAAGCTTCAATGCTTTGACTAACCCTAATTTTTTAAATCTCCTCTCCTCCTATACACCTTTGTTTACTTTGATATCAATCCTATCCACTTATTCTCTGTATACTACTGTGAAATGTGATAACTGTGTACGAGGTTCTATGTTGATTTCGTCTATCTGTTATTCTTTTTGTTAGCTTTATGAGTGTAGAGATTATATCTTGTTCAATTAGATCTTTTCATTACTCTAACTTCTGAAACCTCCTTTCATCTTGCAATATGGAACTTATTTATACAAAGGTGTGATTGTGTTATACCTCATTAGAAATTATTTCGGGTATGCGATTAGTATTTCACTGCTTAACTTATCATCATCTATGTTATTGCACAACAAGTGGAAGATTACTATGACATGCGAAGGCTGTCAAATCTCTCTAATGCAGTGTATAAATACGAAGGTATCACGAGGAGATGAAATATGATACAATTACTCAGTGATTTTAGGTTCAGTTAGCCACTATACATTTTGTATAGAGAAGAAGCTTAAAAATGTTAAAAATTCAACTTAAGTTCATACAAACATGATTTTATAGTTCCTGTTCATGAAATTCCCAATTGCTTGACAGCTTGGTTGGCACATCAGTGAGAATTATTCAAAAATCACTTCACTTTCGCCTTCCTCACTAATAAAATTAAACAATTTTTTGAATCCTATTTAAGTAGTTTTGAGTTTTTTCGGCATAAACCCTATGGGATAATTCATTTACAAATTGTTTCTACCTTTCATTTGTTCTGTTTCTGTATATTTATAGTATGATGGATTGCTGTTGTCAACTTCAGCTGATGGCACTTCTCGCCTTTGGCATCTGTTTTCAAACTTATCCACTTCCTCTGATGTATATTTTATCAGTAACATGCTCAACAAACACGAATATCCATCTGTATGTAATTCAATCCCTACATCCGCCACATTTTTGTGGACTAATTTAATGCATTTTGCTGCAGGTTTCACTTCAGGTCATGTATGCATATTCAATTTGGAAACAAATCAAATTGTTAGAAATTTCCAATCAATTAGTAAAACAGGTAATAATATTTTCATCTTATCTATCAATTTGTTGGTATATAAAAAGTTCAAAAAATAAAAATGCTCACCTATACTCACTCATTTATGCTTATTTTCAATTCAGCTATCTAAAATAACCTTTGATTAGCAGGTATCGAGAGTAACAGTCTTCCGCTCTAACAATGGAGATAAGAATTCCAATTGGTAAACAACTCCCAATAAGCTTATACTTCATAAATTTTTTTCAAGTGAATGAAAGTTACGAGGATTTTTGTCCTTCATTATGGTAGTTTTTCAACCAGCTCTTCATTTTCCTTACACAATTTAGAACCTCACCTATGTTAATCATAGTATCTTCAAGATAGATGTCTCCTCAAACTGCTAATATCATTCATCATCCTGCTGTTCACGTGTGTTAAAAACCAAAGCATAAAGTTCCACCGTGCAGTCCGTCATATACTTTTTTGCTTATTTCACTACTGGCTCTGACTGGTCGTTAATTGCCATTTCCAACAAACATTGTTGATATAGAAGAGTGTAGGATTGCATTGACAAAGACTTCCAAGTAAGCTAACGAAAACAAAACTACCAGGAAGTAATTTGAGGAGTATTCTTCAACGCTGGTTATTTTTGTATATGGGAAGAGATCAGTCAATAGTTAGAAAAAATTGACAAGATTGTTACATATTTCAGCTGAATATTCTTTTTCTGGAAGATATATTATCCTAGTCTTTTCCCATCCGCAACCTACTTAAGTCAACATTGCGCAATTAAGCAGACGGTGACTATGTATGCGTAACATACGTTCCAAACATCGGAGTCTATGGTGGTTTGCAACTTTACTAACTGAATTATGTCTTCTGCTCAAAACTTTACACCTGACTTCTACGTTACTGATATGATGGTTCCTTGTCACACAGTGTGTTCTACGAAACTAACAGCGGTCTATAACTTTCTCACATCCTCTACCTTTAATGGCCATTTTTCACAGCTTTGTAGTGGAACATAACGAACTGCAGCACAGTACTTAGGCCTTAATAAGCAATTGGGCATCCCATAAGTGGCTTAAGTTGACGAAATTAATGCGTCTTTTGCACTTACACAGATTTCTTCAGTCACTGATCCATCATGACTGATCTGACTGCTGAAGTAGTCAGTGCGGCCAATCACTTCAATCTTAATTGTTAGACGAAGAACCGACGCGGACTAATTCTGAAGCAACAACTTGCATTCATGTGATGAGAGAGGCATTCTGAACATTCTCAAATTGCGATACAATGTGTCCAAAAAACTGGGTTTATCTGCGTCTTCACACAACACTGCACATCTGCACATTCTAAGTTTATTAAGGAGTTTCCTGTAATACAGTCAGCCCTTTTAAACCCATATCACGAGAGGGAGACCTCCATAAGTACGTTATGACAACCAAATTAGATTGAGTATTTTGAACGAACATACGTACATATCATAGGCTCTGACATGGAGTGATGTACGTAACTGGCACTTCTTTCAGTAAGAAATACTACCATAATACCCGTTAATTGACGAATTATAACACCTTCTCTAGGTCCAAAAATTCAACTAATGCCGGGCGTCGATAAATATATTCCAGGATGTGGCGGAGAGTGAACATATGGTCGTTTCACCCAAGGTTAGATCTTAAACATGCCTGGTTTTCTCAGGTTTGCTGTTTCCATCTTCACTTAAATGTCTAACAGTTATAGAAAATGACATCGGTTGTTCACTGGAGAGCAGCTAATCTCATATTGTCTAGTCCCTGAGCGCTTACTGAATTCTATCGATTATTACGCAGTGTGGCCATCAAGCTAAAAGGCTGACCATCGCGCTGCACTTTGATGGATGTTGGTTGTTTGAAGGCAATCGACAGGAAGTCTTGAAACTAGGTTTTTGCTTGTTGGCACTCATCAGCAAGGAAAATCCTAGACACTGTATTTGTGAGAATGGTTCCCTTATAGCAGTCACACGAGGGTTTCTTTCTTCAAGGGTGGGGCAATCAGTGATTAAAATCAATCAGAAGGGATCACATCTGATTCCTATACGCTAGCTACCACTTCAGTTAATCTGACTAATAAACCTTGATTCCTTCCTTAAATACCTCCGTTACTATTCTATGTGGCCCTGGTACCCTTCCTTCATTCAAGCTACTCACAGCTTTCTCAACTTTTTTTAATTTTGGAAGTCCTATCTCACTGTTCTATTCCGGGTTCGACTGGATAGCGGGCAGTGGAATGGCTGCTGGAGACCAAATGAGCTGTATCTCGAAGCGTTCTGCTTTGTCCTTCCAGCTGTCTCTTCTGCAAGTGGATCCCAAATCGATCATTTCCCGCTTTAGTTTTACTAACTGTTGACCTTTTCACCCCAGTTTCCTTGATAAATCTAAATAATTGTGTTATTTATCACCACCGCCAATTACCACTTTCTTAGGTCATTACGTAGATGTTTTGTCAGTTGTCATTTCAGTCGCTTCCGATCTTCATTGTGCTCGGAGCCTATAGGAATACGTTGATGCACAACTATTAGTTCTGAAAAAGTTTCTGATATTCACTGACCCTTTTTTAAACCTTTTGGAGCCAGTTGTGGCTTTTGATGCTGTTTTTATAGCAGACTGAAACTGACTTCAGCCTTCTAGATGAATGGTGTTTTCGTGTTCGGATAACAATCTAACCAGCTTCTTACTGAAAGTAGCCCCAGTATACTCATCGTAAACTTGCGTTCGGAATGGTGTTGTTGCTGTAGTTTTCCTACTTCCATTAAGCTCAGGCATGCACTTACTTGAACCAACGTTTAATTGTCCAAACACGTGCTCCCGACGGATCTGACGTGCATGTTTTTATTCACGTTATGTGGTTAGGCATCATCAGTAGCCTTAAATATTTTCAAAGTAAATGAGTTGTTCGCCACTATAACACATTAGTAATTACATAATTTGCTTTTTATCCTCGTAAATCATATTTAATATAATGTGTATATATTATTTCTGATCATTGAGAAAAAGAAGCAAGACAGAAACTAGTGATTTTGTAGATTTTCATCAAACAGCTACATATGCTTCTATAGTGGTTGGTAGCAAACTGATATGTCGGAGAGACAAAGTAATCCAATCTCTTCCATTTTTTCTTTTAATTGGACTATTCATCTTCTTTTAAATTTCCAACTGAGATGAAAATATTTTCGAACTTTTCATCAACCTGTTTATAAATACATGTATTTTGATTTCAGTAATATAATCTACAACTCATATAATGTATACTATCGAAACATTCTATTTATTTTTTCGCTAGACGTCAGTGATACTCTTCAAAACAGATCAATTTACTCTGTGAATTCTGTCATTTCTCATCCTCATTTCCCGTTAATAATTAGCGCTCATGATGATCGCCAAATTCGATTTTGGGATTCACTCAGTGGTAAATGTGTTCATTCGTTGACTGCACATTTGGATTCAGTAACAACACTTAGCATAGATTCCAAAGGAACATCACTTCTCTCAGCAAGTAAGATTAGCTTATTACTTCTTATCTAAATCCAATTTTCTTCAATATTGTATTATTGCTTATAGCTAAATCCAGATGTTATTTAATTGATGGACAATAAATAATGCTACCTCATCAATTCTCTATAATTTATAAACAGCGCCTAGTCTACCATGATGCTATTCAAAATGTAATGCGAAGTGCACAGTGACTTGTTTTCAAAACCCCATACACTTAGATCACACCCAGTAGATTCTAACCACTTGAAACATAGAGAACTTGTTGAAATTAACGGTAGTCAAGACTAGAAATGCAAACTATGCCTGTGATACAACGTAATCAATTTGTTCATATCATCCTCAATTGAATGTAAAGTCGGGCTTAAATGTCACATTTCTCCACCTAAGGTTTGAAAATGTTTTGTTAACTATCGCCTCAAAGTGTTAATATCTATTTAGTCATTTTATTTCTTGTTTACTACTTGATAGCTATCTATTAGTTGATAGCGAGTTCAATAAACGTACTTCAAGGATCTTTTTTCTTACAAAAAACCATCAAAATTCACTTTTCTTGGTCATTTCGCAAGCAACAACCTATCTCCTTGCTTTTCGAATAAAATCTCGCTTAACTTACTCATCTACTTTCTGTAGGTGGATCAGCTTTGTCTGCTACTTGTGCTGATTATATCTTTGCCCATGAAAACACAAATCAGTTTTCTGTTTGTTACACGTAAGCATGTTCGATGTTGATTAACATCTCAAACTTTTCGCTCTACTAGTTCTTTAATGTGATAAAGAAGGCAGTTGATCATGTGTCTGACAGTTTTGCTTATGAAGATAGGCGTGATATCAATCACTTTTTTGATCATATGGAGTACACTTACGCGGAAACCATGAGTCTTCAGGTGTTGATCTTATTCTCACCTCTAGATGTATGCCTACGTGACGTTTCTAGAAAAATCCAGTCAACTCTGACATTTTGTACGACTTCTAGCACGGCAATGTTGTATATCCATTCATAGATTGGAAATGATTTTATCCTACACTATAATTGCAAAATACACTAAGTATTTTTAGCTTGTCGAAATCCTAACGGATTAGGAATGAAGACCTTAACCGTTCAATCCACTTACATATACCTCTTACGGTAACCAAACCTTTTCAACCAGTTTTACATAAAATGCTCTTTTCACCTATGTTTAATTTAGTCATTTGTCCTCTTAACGACTTCTGTATTTTTAAGTAAATATGCAAGGCAAGTGTGAATGGCCAGGTTATTCGAAATGAATCGTGTGTGCATTGTATATCCCAATTAAATTACTAATTTGTGGGAAATATTTAACTAATGTAAGCTTTTCAGTGTTACTGAATCAAATTCCAAGTTATAAAATCATACATTTTACCAATTACTGAGAGATTAATGCATTTTCAATGTATTTTTCTAGGTCATGATTGTTCAATTCGCATATGGGATATCAATACAAAGACATGTATTCAAGAGATAACTGGTCATAGGAAAAAATTTGGTGAAGCTATTAACAGTATTGCATTTCATCCAACCCATCATTATATGGCAAGTGCAGGATCAGATGCACTGGCAAAAGTATACATTTGAATCAAGAAAGGCTGACACTATTGACTTAAGCTTTTTCTATATTTAACTGTGTGATGTATATATTCCTTTGTATATCACTTGAGACCTTCAACCCAGCACTATTTATTCATTTCATCTTTTTATTTTACTTTATAATATTGACTTCTGGTTTAAATAATGGATACAGCTGACCTAGTCAAATTTTATTCTTTTTCTCTGACTAAGTCACAACTTACATCAATAAATATGGAGTGGATTTTTTTGTCTGTCTATAAATGTATTTCTATTTTTCATCGGTGACTGTATGTCATATTCTTTTATACAAATTCTGGAACTTATTTTATCAGTAAAGATGTACATTATTTCTCTCGTGGGTTTTTCCATCTAATACCTTTACAGGATGTCTGCAAGTTTGTAGCTGAAATACATTAAGTATCGTACAGTTTTTCCGATTCATATCTTTGCACACCGTTAAGGTGCATGTAGCCCATGACTTAGTGGGCATAAACACTTTGTACTAGGTTGTGTCATTTTAAAAAAGTTGTAGAGTAGTCAGCTCATACTATTCTGCCATGTGTATTATTCATGCTCTATCCAAGTACACAGTAAAGCATAAGCTATTATCTCATAACTCAATAATTCGCTTACAGTAACATTGAAATGAGTCAAGAAAGAGAACTCGACTCAGAATAACGGAGACCTTATGAGACCGAAATTGTAGAACAAGACCTGAACTATTTACATAGTAGTCACTGGGTACAAGGGGAATTTCTTATTGTAGTATTTGGTGGAGTCGGTCCGTCACTGCTAAACTTATTTGTATTGTTATTGGTGACAGGCTTAGGTGATCTAATGAAGGTTGTAGGAACCTAGAAGTCTGAAAATGTGTGAAGGATACTGGATATAGTTTCGACGGGATACTCTAATCCAGAGACATCAATGGATAGAAGTCGTTTTCCTACTCTTTACCTGAAATTTTCCATATTGTGTCAATGACAGATATGTGTGTAATCAAACTGATCGAAACGTGTTGAGCACACACATTACACGAGCCAGATATATTCCGTCTTTTTTATTGTTGCCATGTTACAAAAAGGGGACTTATTGTTTTGAGCTCATATTTGTTGCGTTTTGCTAACGCGACTTTTATTGAGAGAACATGGACTTCATTTGTCTTTTCAAATGAAAATATTTGACTACAGTTCCAGAAAATGTCCGAAATCCCATTATTCTGTGCTTGACCGTTCGAATTCCAACTATCAACTTGTAATCTGAACACTGTTCACTTCGTTAGAGTTAGAGTTACACAACCTATGGTGTTGAGTCCCTCATTTCTGATAAATTGTCGTTCTCGTCCACACCTTAACCTATTTCAAGGATATTCGTCTGATCATAGAATAAATATCGCTTGTCAGCGATTGATTACTACTGTTTCTCCCAAGTTAAGCTGGCTTGCATCATTTTGAATCCATGTTATCTGTTTCTTTTGCTAACTTTGTCTCAACTCGATAAAAGTATGTGAACTCTGTTTAATTCATACATCTTGATACTGTTTGTGTACGTTAATGCGAGCGGCTGTATAAGGATCCCATTTATTTTCCTATTCAATCACAAATATTTGACATGAAAGATGTTTCTTTTGGCTCACATACTCGTCTATAATGTATATATAAATAACTGGAAATAAATTCGTGGAAATCGCATCCTCTCACCTCATATCCTGTTTGTGTTCAAAGCAAACAAAACTGCAAACGTACTTTTTCATGCTCAGCCATGTCTGAAATCCCAGGTCAGCATCGTGCAGTCTACACCCTAATTTACGTAGTAATGCAATGATTTGACTACTATCAGCATATGGTAAAACAAACAATGTAAGCGAAGAAATATTTCTTTTCAATTAGTTCCTCATCAATGGCTCTACACTAATATAGCATTTTCAAACGTAAAATTACATACTAATCTAGTGGTGAGAGTTGTTCAATGAAAAGTTATCAATCTCAAAGTATCAAGAAGCTGATAATTGATCAGGTAATTAAGACAGTTAACTAAGGCAAAGATTAATTATGGTAGAAAGATTTTGTGAACAGGTTCTTACACAATTGATATTTTGTATAATGATAACTAAAGAGCAGAAATGAACTGTTACGTAAAATGGTAAATTGTTGACGGTAATTAGAGACAGTAGGGGGAGAGAGAGATGGTTAAGTCTGTAATAATAATAATAATAATGGCGCTATTGAAATATTAGTTATAGTGAATTGTGTGGTGGATGAAATGAAGAAATATTTCTTCGCTCACATTGTTTGTTTTACTAAATGTCTAAATGGGAATTTTCGCACTATCAGCATATAGTTGTCAATAAGAAAGGAACTAGGACAATAGTTGTATGCCACAGCTATCACTAGTACTCTGAGTGATTTAAACATTGCTAGCAGTGGATACAAGCAATACTGGAGCACCCGGTGGTGGAACGGAGCAGCAGGATATCCTCATGCCGGAACACACTTTTTGCAGTCAGAAGACCGGACCGCTCGCCAGTACTGGGAATAAACACTTTGTTCTGTCTAGAAAATTTGGTCGCATCTGTCACAGCAATAGCATACAACTAAACACATGAAAATCTTCGAGTCCCTTCAATGACTCACACGCAGATACATCTACATTTATCTTAGAAAAGTAATCCACGTTTGTGCTTTAAATTACGTATTAAACTAATGGACGCTAGGCTTGTAAGTGCACATTTTAAGCTTATCATCATTTTGAAATCTGGTCAGACAAAATTAAATCAACCTTAATACACATATTTCATTATGGTTCTTTTGAACAGACTTAGGTTTTAAGCTTTGCAAAAGAAACAGTATTTTCCCTAAATTTATTCTCTATTCATTCTAGGGGAAAATGTTCAGGATTTTTTTTTGGTTGTGGGCAATCGGTATTAGCATGGTGCATAATGCTTTCAGCTGTAGCGCGCGGTAGCGATTGGGAAGACACCGTAATTTCTAATCCCAACCGCAGTTTGTAGACGGTTGGCTGACACATAAATTAGCTTTCATGTTTCTTACTACAATGCATTAGGCAAAACACGTTGCATAAGTCTCGACAACATATGAGACACTTGGTTTACCCAGTTGGGAAGTTAGTTGAAAAGCTAAGAGAAGAATATCAAATCTGACAAAACTAAACAGTGAAGTAAAAAATTAACTGTTCTACTAAATCCACACAACACCGATTTACAGGTGTATACCACAGTAACGTTTTTAAGCGATGTATACGACTTTTGTTGACTGGTTGAAAAATATACCCTAGTAACCTTCCTAACCGAAACTCCATAGTCCCAAATCGTGAACAAAATATGCAACTGAAAATGAAGGTACATAATTACCAGACTGTGGAAACAAGTCCATACTTTCGTAAAACGAATAAAACTTGGTATGATAACCATTGATTGGGAAACTCGTCCACGTAGATGACTTGTGAGACCACAGCTGCTCAAAAATCTTTAGACGACAGCACTGCAGTAAACGAATTGTGCACGCAAACCGCATAGACAGAAATATGGCATGATCAACGTGGTTAAGGGAGTCACGTTCAGAGATGTCAACTGCTAAGCGATTTTTAATCCACTTGGTACGGACAACCGGTAATCAACAACACTTGTCATCAGTAAAACTAGCACACTAAATCGCTAGCCGTTTTAATGATAAAACTTTCGAGCCACGAATTTCTTTGGAATCTAATGTCCAACCAGATCATAGTTGCTGAGTCTACGATCGTAAGGTATAGAAAAATTAAGAGACGTATCGATTTTACTTGTCTCATCACTGCTAACTGGTACTGATATTTACACGCCTTTGAAAAAGACCTGGTAAGTCTTATGCTCACAAATACCTTAGTGTTTTATGATTGATGTACTGGGTTAACCGATTGTAACGGAATTCCTTGTAGTGACAAAGAAAGTTCATTATCAGAGTCCCACAAGAATCACCACTTTCGATATATCTGGCCAGATCAAATCTTAAAGGTTGTTGAAAATGGAGAAAAACAACTAAACTGATCGAAAAATCCAGACAAGACTCAAGGCAGACAACACTTCACAGTAGTATTCAAAGAAATGGATGTGAAAAAGACATCAGAACAGACAAAATAGTATGAAGAGACAAAATGAATAGATGTTCAAGACTCCGAGAATGACGTTTTCAGAACTACGTCATTGCGTCATATCACCAGTCTCTAACCAAGCGTATGCACAGCCTTGTGGATACAGACCAGAATCAATGCCTTCATGAGTAGTGCAACGTCCAGCTTTCTCCATCCTTAGCTGCTCCCAACCCAGTTTAATTTCGGCTAACATCGCAAGTACAGATAAACTCCAACCTAAAACGCAGGGGAAAATGATCGTCCTTCTGTCCCAAGGTGCAATCAAGTCTGCTTCAAAGCGCCAAAACTGGAAGTGGTGACCACCATAGTGTAAATAACTCACGCTGTGGTGCAAGTCTGAAAGTTCAATAGTGCTATCGGTTTCACGCGATGCGAAAGCATTGTTTATTTCTGAAGAATGACCAGAATTTAATGTTTATGATGCTTTTCTTTTTGGAGATGGTGGTTTGGATATGTCGATCATAAAAAAGAGGAATTTTTCATGCTCAACGGTCTTCCATTGTCAGGAGGAGAGATTTCCTATGCTTAAGAGGAACATTATTATCTTAACGCGTGAAACCAAATTCAGAGATCTCTCTCGTGGACTACAGAGTTACGCAAGAATAACACACTTCTTTTCAGGTACTTCACGCAAACTCCCACGGCATCAGAAGCAGGGAACCACCAACAATACTAGCAATATTCAAAGTGAAATTAACTCCCTTGGCTTCATCTTACCTAACCGTCACTACCTGCCTTTTTCACATGTCAGCCCCCTTCGGTTTTCTCAGCTTTTTACCCTGCGTTTATAGTTAACGACTGCAGTCAACAAAACACCAACCCGTGCCTTTTCGAAATATGCAGCCAAATTCACATTAGAATTTCTGTCATCCAAACCTTATGGCAAATGAAGCAGCAGGCCTGAACCAAAGTTGCGGAATCTAAAGACATGGATTTGTCCTGCTTATGAAACAAGCAAATGCGATTCAAGTGTCCCTGCACAATGTGGGAATTCTGCAAAATTACCCTATGGATGTCCGTAAGAAAATTCGACTTCTTAGCATAGACTTTCCAGTCCAGTACCACTGACAAACAAAATCAACGTAAAACCTTACACAGAAGCTCGTCGGTTCGAATGTCCACGTTGCACAACAGCATGCGAATAACGAGTGAGGGAAGTGTTATTAAAGTAGACAAAGACGCATAAGGGGAAAAGAGGTTTGAGAACCACAGCGAGTGAGAATATTTGGAACTTTTACGAAGTCAGAGTTAAATAAATCAGTAAACTGGTGACCAGTTTACAGCTATATCACCAAACCCCGAACCACTGATCCCCATTATCTTGAGAACCATAGTCAACCGGACTAAACCTATCTAAACAGCTCAGACCAACAGTCAAGTTTTGGTCTAGCCACCCCGGCTGACTGCATCACGAAATTCGCTTTTGCAAGGTACATGGAAAAGACTAGTTTTGTGGCCGCAGAGATTTTGAGACATCTGTCTGAAGCCGACCACACTGGGCCCATCTAGAAATAAGATTTTATAGCACTAGTACCGAATGGGAAAAACCCATATCACCAGCAGCGGAATAATACAGGGTACAGACTGTGCCATCGTTGAGACCAACCTTTCCTAATCCGTTCCCATAGAAAGGGCAGGACCATCATCGTACAACTAGCCATCCACGTGAAACACTTACTGTCATCACACATCTGGTCAGCAGTTCGACTTTACCTTAAGATCCCAAACATAACGTAGCTACTTGATTTATGGTGGTCCCCGCTTTATCTCACCAATATCCAACAGGTGTTTATCTCGTAGTAAAATCTCAAGGAACAAACGACTCAGTGAGCATACCTCGTCGAAATATTCACCCATCGATGTGAGTTCAAATGACGCAAAGCAGGAAATCTGCCGAAAACCATCGCGGCGACTGGAACCGTGAATACATCACTGAGAAGCAGTTCAACTGACCTCCAATCACACTTTATTCTCTTGACTTCGAGCTCAAACCTAAGTGAGGTACAAATGTCGGTCCAACTCTCAATACAGTAAAGGCCGTCTCAAAACTGAAACTGTCCAGAAAAGGAACTAACAGTATGGCGCCAGAAACCTCAACGGATGATGATCTAAAGCTATTCGGTAGAGTAACAGCCGTACTAGGTATCGAAGCGTTATCAGAGTTAATCCTGTGAAACAAAATTCATTAAAGATTGTTCATCGTCCATGTCCATCTAGAAAGGGAGTTTTAAGTTGACAAGTACAGTCGGAAATTTCCCTAACATGCTGCTCAAGATCTTTGAATTCAACAGTTACTTAACATCCAGACAGCGCTCGAGAATGATAAACTACAAACGACTACGCAGGATGCAGAAGTATACGAGGCCGTATCCATCATATGTTCACCTTTCATGATCTTCTCAACACAGACACGCCGGTGACTGACATTTTTCTTACCTGATAGTTGCATTCAACTCTACAATCTAAGAAGAGTTATAGAAGTCTCTGGCTGTGAAAGTAATATCGAGTGAATAAATTGTGCCGATAGTCTATCCGACTTCATGCCGACAAGTGAAGGGCTGTATACCATTGTCCCCTGAAGTAACAACAGCCAATGATCCCCACCAAGGATGTCCACTACCGCCACTCCTACTTAACTTTGTAGTAAATGTGCTGATGCATACAATATTTGTTTAGCTAAAGTGACAACGTCGACTTAAACACCAGCATAGGAGCCTTCGGTTCACAATCTTCAATCAAATCTGTAGACTGAACGAGAGATTAGCATCGTATGGCCTTAAACATAGAGTCAGGGGAGTTCCATGACACACCTAAACGCGACTTTCCAGACAACACCTATTTTGTTGGCTAGCAGCACGCCTGCTAGGCGTTGAGATCGGCGATTTCGTGGTTGATTTTAGAAAACATATTTACCTCTTAAGCAACTGATTATTGTGTGCAGAAAATACTTCTTATTTTGTACCTTGAGGTAAACACGATGCTCAATTACTGATGAAATGATGTTACATTCGCTCAAGACAGTTTACTTGAAGTACAAGGATGGTAGCTGGGAAAGATAACGCTATTGATGCCGAAGAAATTTAGATCGATTAGCATTCCCCTGTTAAACAATGGTGTGAAGCTTGGAATTAAGTTTGGGGACTAAATAATCAATAAGTCAGCAACCCACTGACAAGACAGACGTTTTGGAACGACAAGGTGGAACACAACGCAAACAATAAAATTTGTCTATAATTATGATTTGATTGCCGCTATCTATTCGCAGTCAGAGTGCAACGATTCCCAGAGCCCCGACTGGGTTATTAGTTACGGTATCCGAATCATGTGACACGCCCATAATCTATCTTGCACATTGACTGCTCCATCCCACAAGAAAAAACACCGTCGTGTGATAACGGAAGAGAAATCAGCTCGATCAATAACAACTTCCAAGATACTAGGTTCGGCAACCACCTGACTACAGAATGGAGCCTTTCAATGTCAAACCGAAGGAAACTAACTAGGTATAAGATCCGGTTGTTAATTCGCTTACCAAATAAGTCTTTAGCTCATAACAAACCTTGAAACACCAGCATAGCAGGGATCGATACCCTTAAAGAATTCTCAAGGTACGCAGGTATCATAATCCAGTCGGGTAAAGATACTGGTAGGATTCAAAATATATTGAACACGTTGGGCGACAGGCTGAGAATATCTGAGGCATGCTACTCATCTAAACGCAAAACGGTGCTTAAGGACCGGTCTATATTGACATCTCTCCCGACAATCGAGTGGTCGACCACTTCACCCAATTGGAAATTCGGACCCGTCTTGGTGAAACGGTGCTCAAGATGTTAGTACGAATACTAAAGGCTCGATTGCTTCTAATCAATTCACGTAACCGATAGTTCCGGCGAGATATCCGAATGCCCATCAAATGTTGAGAGCCTTACACAGGCATTCCCTCAGTTCCAAACTGACTTTCATTTTGTCGTGTTCAACCAGTCTAGCAACCCTAATGGTTACACAGCGATACCAGGTCACTGTCGACAATGATGCGTAACCAGATAAATTACCTCATGATGTTTGCGCAGAAGCGGCTAGTCTGACTTTGGTTGGACTGTACTAATCTGTCTATTTCGTCTCGCCGGAACTATTCATTTACGAAGACATTAACTTCCGGTAAACATGTCGCCGCGTCTCTTACCTGAATTTCATATTGAGGAACACACCGAACCTGTTATGTAAACAAGCGTGTAGCACAAATCCACTGACTCCCGAAAGTATGACAAGATAATCCCGACCATATCTTGTTTCAGATCAACGGATGTCATAATCCAAGCTTAACATGCCAGTACGATCAGTATTTAAAGCACGAATTTCCTACAAGTTATGCATGTGTGAAGAATAAATGATTTCCCGAGCACCTCTACTTAACTGTTTTAAGATTTTCAAGTGGAACATACAAGTCAATCGGGCAGTTATCGTGTTATTGTAATGGTTTACAACCCAACCGATGTAAACAGCTGTAGTGTTGAGACCCAACGATTTTTCCCATATACATCGATTATATACATTCATTACGCAGTGCCTCTGGAGTTATTGCCAAGCTATAGGCAATCCACGCTATTAAATGTCTCTTTAAAAAACCAGTGAAACCAACTTTTCTACGAGTTACTTTTGACAAAGTATTGGTTCATTATGGAGTTGGACTGTCTGAGGTCTTATTAAAAGGTAGTACTTTAGACTCAATTGTAGTTGGCGTAATTCAGAACTCTATAGCACTAAGGTAAGCTTACAGACAAACGCACATACACTACAAACCTTCAGATTTGGTTGTTCAGTGGAACTGAGTCACATACATTTGTCTGTACAAAAAGCATCAATAATGCAATTTTAAAGACACTTCAGACGAAATATACCCACTGATATTAGAACAGTCGGTAACGTGTTTCAAAAGCTTTTTCTAATGTGCAAACAATATCGGAAATGATAAACCCTACTGTTCTCTGGGCTTAAATTTCAAAAAGACAATTCGTGAAACGGCCACAGGATACAAGATATCGGGAACCATTGGTTCGATTAATGCTTATTTGATCCGATAGTAGAATGTTTCACTCTTGAATGCAAAGGCTGATGAAAAGCATGTTTGAAAAACGTCAACTAAATGCAGCTCGAAGCCTACCCCTCATCAAAAACCAACTAAGGCCATGTGACTGATCAATTCCTGACTCAATGACAGCAATAGCAACCGTATTCATATTTACCAAGTTGTAATTAGTCCATTGCTTTGGTTGACTGAACTGCTAGTTAATAACATCTCAGTAACTAGCCAAGGAAGTGTCACTTCTTGCTTCTGGTATTTCCAATGTCCTTCGCTACACAGATATTAATTAGTAGTCATTATCACCACCCTTTTCTTTCGGACAACGTAGATCACTCACAACTGTGAAAAATTTTATTCTTAGTCGGTCAGGTAATACCACTTAGATTTGTCACCTGCTTGTTTCCCATACGTAGAGTGATGTGTACCTTAAGGTTTGATACCCAGAGACAACGTCCTTGATGTGTTAGAAAATTATCACTTGCCATGTTTTCTTATCAATGTATCGGGAATCTTTCAGCCTATGTCCGCACATTCCTCAATATCGATCTCACAATAGGTAGTGATCTGCTGAGATAATCTTTTCCATCAATATAAGCAGAAAACAGTGAGGAAATAACACCACTTCCTGTCAGATTAGTCAGCCGAAAAAGGGTAGCTTGAAACACCTAGCGGGAAAGAGATCTCTTACCAAAGAAAAGACCAACTAGTCAGTTGTGTTGATGCCTCAGTCCCACTTGATGCACAAGAGATATGAAACAAATGTTTGCCAACTTGCGAACTTAAATAAGGTCAACTCCAATAAATCCTTAACAAGAATCTCCTACCACTGGTTCACAAAGGAACTGTTTACAATGTCAAACTCCCACCTTCCTTTGTCACTGAAAACGTATCCAAGTTTTCACAGTGGTTTGGAGAGATGCACCACCATTAACTATTAGAGGCTTGACGTTTGATCAGGCTAGGAAGCGACCGCCAACTTTGAGACGCAGCGCACAAGACGCACCAATAAAGTAGGTATCAAGATTTCAACTGCGCGACCTTTCAGCCGAAAAAATCGAATCACAAAAATGGGTTGTGCTAATAGCTTTGTATATTTAGGCCTTAGAATGTGGCTGGTATCTAAAATCAACGTAGTTGATAGCCCGGAAATGAACCATGATGTTGAGTAGAAACGCCCTGCTTCAGCATTACATGACAGGACTTCCAATGGACGTTACTTGTCACAGCATGCGCAACACAAAGAGGGAAATGAATACGAATCACAACTAGCAAGACAACACTAACGCCAAAAGCATACGTACACGGTACTGAATCAATCAAATTTACTTTTCACGTGACAATGTATGAAAGCATGCACAATTGTCATTTCATATTCAAGACTTGAAAAACCAAGTAGTTGACTTGAGTGTTTTAGGAAAAGGAAATACGAAACAAAATGATTTCGTACATACGCTTGTTCAGAATTTCAGATAAAATATGCGCAAAATCTTTTTAGTGAGGTTATGAACCGAAGCAATACATATTTGCCCGAACCAAGCAGTACATACTCGGATATTAGATAGGAGAATTGACTTTGGACAACATGAAATATCTGTCACATTAGAGACAGATGGTAGTAACATGTCAACTTTAACAGCAGACTTATGGTAGTAATAATAGTTAAAGATGATACAATGACTACCTAAATGAACATAACTGTGAAGATATAGAAGTTAGTATGTCAAGAGAACTTTGCAATAATTCGAAACAAAAATTAAAATGATAAAACGATAAATTGCACTACTGGTGTGCACCTACATGACTCTCGGGAACGTTATGTTAGTTAATTTAATTATCCCTAAAAGCAACTCTGGCCAAAATAGCAAGCACCAGCGACAATCACAATCTAGCATCAAGCCTGTTCATCCGTATTCTTCTTGGCATCTTCTACAAAGTATTACTTAAAACAACGGACTGGACTTACCATCTCCTTCAGGATCAGAAGTCCACAAAGTTAGGTTGTCCCGTAGTAATTGCATGATCAAAGTGGAGTCTTTGTAGCTTTCTTCTGACAGCTGATCAAGTTTGGCTATAGCATCATCAAACGCAGAACGTGCCAGATTACAAGCTTTGTCGGGGCTGTTCATAATTTCATAGAAATAAACGGAGTAGTTTAGCGCCAGTCCTAGTCTGATCGGGTGAGTCGGGGGCAGTTGAGTAGCAGCGATTTCGGATGCTTCCTTGTATGCGTCGTCACTTTTTGCGGCTGCTTCTTTACGTTGAGGGTCAACCGAAAATTCTGCCATATAACGGTGGTAATCTCCCTTCCTGAGGAAAAGCAGCTATTAGTAAGAATAAACCTACATCTTGAGATAGAAGACTTTCGAGTCTGGTTTTGACGCAGAACTAATTAAATGCTTGTCAATCAAACCAAGTATTTCCTTAGATACGTGATCAAGTTCGGACTCCAAGATCTCACGGAAACGCTTTGCTGCAGCCTGCTTTTGAACGTTACCTTTACGTTCTTCAGTCTGTTCCACTGCACTAAACACACGCCAAGATGATCGCCTAGAGCCAATAACATTCTTGTAAGCCACAGAAAGCAGATTGCGCTCCTCAACAGTCAACTCCTCACCACCTTCCACAACTTTCTTCATCGCTTCCACCATCTCTGACAAATAAAAGTGGATGTTAGTAGAAATAATAAAAATGATTTCACAAAGCTATATCACAATAATTTACCATCATATCGTTCAACCTGCTCTGTCAATTTCGCTCGGTATACAAGGGCTTCGCGTTCTACCGACATCCTGGCGATAATACGTCCAGAAACTCAATATGGCCGAATAGAAGCAGGTAGTTCGCCGCCCTACAAGTTAGTTCCATAAAACAAACACATCAGCCATTGCGGTTGAATTTTTGACAAGGACATATTTCAGAGTACTCAGTAAACTTATTGCTTACCATCTCATGAGTCGAATCCATTTCCAGGCAAAATAACTTTAGACTTATGCTCGATGTTGAGACTATGTATTTCACAGAAAGAAATCCTTTAGGGGTGTTGCAGTTGCTTTAGAACTAGAAAACAAGTTTCTTATCGGCCTTAAGATCGACTTAATATGAAAATATCTTTCATAGTCAGACAATAACTTTTTTCCTAACTTGAATGACCCGTGTGAGTAACGGCGTGCTTGTTTATCTTCAATCAGAAGGCCAATGCTAGGGTTTTTATCACCGAAAAACGGCTTTCGAACACATTATAACAGCGAACACATTTTATTTGATCAAGTGCGCGTGAAGATTGCCACTCACAACAACAACGTAAACCTCATCTCAACTCGAAAATACCTACTGCTGATGCTATATAGTAGTCTGAACTGTCCAACTGCTATGTTCTTGGGCTGTCTTTGGAGATTGTTCACTATGAAATATCCTTCTTGGTCTGTACAGGCACTTGGAGTTCTCGGCCAAAGTTCCTGACTAAGTGAATATGAAGTTCCTGGTGGTTAGCTGTCTTCTATATCCTTTCTTCCCTTCGTACTTTATATGATTTTGTGTCTTGCACATCCTAACTATAAAGGTACAGGGAACTAGGTTACAAGCTGTCACTAGTCCAATGAGATCAGTAGACTGACAGAATCTAGTCTGTGCAGAAAAGATGAGCGCGGCGATGCCCACGCAATCCAGGTTCCCTGTACTTCAGCCACACCGAACACGGCATTTTTCGAGACCACTAAACTCATATAGATACAAGGATATTAACATGCCTCCTAACATTGTCCTGGTAAAAAAACAAAAGACGTGGAAAACGTGGATGTCGACAAGCAATCATATCAGCGCACACTGTGGTTAACTTCAACTTCCCAAAAGCAGACCACGCAGTCGTCAACGAACAGCAAACTTGTGACGACCGTCGAGTTTGCAACATATGGACACCGGAGGCCCAGTACAGCTTTTGCGTGCGGTATTCTATCAAAGTGGGTGCTCTGTCATGGTGATAAGGTCGAACTAGGTCCGCACTACAGCTTCATGGTACTGCACACATGTGAGTGTGGCACATCTGTCCAGAAATTACCTGATTTTGCCTCCGGAAAACAAGGCAAAAGCAGGTCTGCCCACTGAAGCAGGGTAGGCTCCACATATAACCACTCCATAGGCTCACGGAAGTGTCACCCCCGCCAAATGAAGCTACCAGTCCCCTTCCCGCTACCTGAGGCACCAACGAAGTCTTCACTTCTTTTGTCGAGGATAAATGGACTTAAGTTAATACTGGAGAGGGCAGAGTAAAGCCACTGACTGTCAAACCAAGTACCTTAAACTCACGAGACAAGGGGAGGAACTCTATCATCTGATTCAATATTCCAACGCCCGAAGACCCACTCTTAGAGAAAAGAGCATCCGACTCGGAAGAATGGGATGACTACCGTTAAAAGCTGGGATCAAAACCGACCGCAGTAGGCTTATCCTGGCTCCCTCACGGAAGAAGAGTACCTCCGGATAAGCTGACATCCTTCAGGTCGCCATCGATGACAGCGAGACGGGCCGGGGACATACTACTGTTGTCATGCCAACCAGAATTCACCGGAGCCTGCATCAAAGAAAGAAGGCAAGTAAACCATGGGTTGCCGGACGTGCGGAAAGGAAATTCACCCTTAGAAACCTTCACAAACTGAAACCACGGTGGTGCATGGAATGCCTGAACTAGTGAGAGGGTCTACAAGATGTGATCATTACCTCCATGACGTCATCCAGTAGAAGTGGCTAGCAGCAAAAGCGGGTCTAGAGGGATTGTCCGCCGGCAGAGCGAGTAAACTGCCGAGGCCCATTCGCCTTCAGAGCAAAGAGTGGTACTCTCCGAATTGCGTTAAATTTTAGCGTGATTTCGTAACTATATCATAACTTTATTATTAACGTCGTCATGAAGCTATTTTAGTTTTCAAATGACCAATCACACATCAGGTATGCCACCAGATATGGTTAATGCCTGTATAGAGGCACGGACAAAATCATCCGTGGAAAAGTGTATCAACCATACCCAAATTTTGGTAACGCCAACAGCAGGCTCTCCTTGCAACAGCATAGGTGAGCCAGCCTATACTCCAGTCATGCTCAAGGGAAGGGGCGCCTGGTTAGCTAAGCTATTCAACGTTAATGATGATGGAAACAAATCTGCAGGTACAACATTTAACAAAGCCACGACACCAAGTGTTGCTGCAGATCTAAGGCTTAATGGAAGCGCAATGTCTTTTGTAAGACCAACTAGACTTCAGTCACCGAGCGGGAAACTGTCACCCATTCCGGAACCTGAGAGCCTGAAGTCCTCTTTAGAGGTTCTAAGGGCAGAAATACGCTAGATGAAGGATTACAAACAGATTAATGCACCATACGAAAATATTATGAGGGCGTCCGAAGTGTCGCCCCAGCTGGGTGGAATTAGAGCTCAGATTAGCACCTTTTGCCACCGAGCATCTTGACGCGCGATAAATTTACTAGTGAAATTGAAATCAAAATACTGACCGGGATAGATCACTTCGTGAGCTTTACCACCGCTGAAGTAAGCAAGAGGCTCGCACTTAAGTTGAACTTAACAGTTTATGACGTCCCCGACACGACAAGGCTGAAGGCGGCACGGGAAATTTTCCTTTGAACAGCAAAAATGAGCGATTTCAATCCAAAATGTTTTCGACTAAGAAGTAGCCAGCAGGACCATTGCCGTCCTATACGCTTTCAGTTTAAATCATAGATGGAAGCGGAAACATTCACGAAAGCAAACTCCGTCTTACCGGGCAACACAATCTTTACAGGAATAAAGATAGTTCTTGATAAGACGTTGGTAGAAAGGCAGGTATACAGCTTCGCTTATAGACTGGACGGTCAGGGGGCCTCAAAGCTGCAACACGCTAGGCCTAAGACTTCTTCCTCCCCAAGCCCTGTCAAGTCAAACACACGGAAAGCACCATCGACCAACGCGGAGATGAAAGGCCGCGAAATATGTGATTCGATTGAACCACCTAAAACTGTAGATCCAAACGTATCCACAAAAAGCCCAAAACTGAAACCTGACTCTCTAATAAGCGTCACAGAACCCTCACTGAGATCTACTGGGGGCCTAAAGCCCACAACTCACACCAGTCTAGGGCCTAGGATATTGGCCGCAATGCGCATATGGAACCCAGGGTGTAGAGAGGGAAGCAGAAATCATGCAATGATCTGAAATGATCCTAAAATCCCTTCTGGAATTGACATAAGTGCAAGCGGTAGTTAAACCAAAAGGGTTCGATAGCCTCTGCTGCGTCCACTAGTAACGGGAACACAATTAGACGTCGCAACGACCCAACCTCGTCTTTTACGAGGGAGAAAAGTTAGCGTCAAACCACCTATAATAGAACGTCGGCAAGGTACGTGTGAGAAAAATTTTGATTGCCTGCGTGGCACTAGCTTACTAGGAAATGGCCCCTAACCCCACATAACGCCAGTTACGTCCGGCGTGACTTGTAACCGGACAGCCACTGGTAAGGATTACAACCCAGAACAGAAGTTTACGTGAACCACAACGACTCGATGATTTTTTATCAACTACATCCCTATCCGCTGCAGCTCTGGTCAAACAACTGATGGGGATGTTGAAACTCCTCACTCCGAACAGATAATCTTGGTGTTCCCGGAGCAACAAAAAAGATACAGCCAACCATATACACAAACCCCAAACGCCAACTACCCAAGAAGCGTCAGCAGATGCGAAAGTACAACAGGTCTATTGGATCCTCCAAGAGGTTTCACCAACCCTATGCACCCTCCATGTACAGAAGTAAAACCACCTACCCTCTGTGAAACAGATACAGACGCCAGAGGCTGGGCTTGCGTTACGTCAAACTCTGCGTATGTGGACACGACGTGGAGACGAAAAACCTGAAATAAAAACGTAGCTCCGTTCCTCCCTAGTAAAGGTGATGTTATTTCAAGTCACTGTGCGGTCGATTTGCTACTGGGATATCCTGATAACTCTACAGCTGTAGGTGGGCAGGTTGTAGAGACGTTTTTAACACAGCGACATCAGATCATACTCAACCAAGCAGCACGGAGATACCTCTTGGCCTGTTCGGCGAATTAGAAAGCCTTAGACATTATTACCCCTCTTACTTGTGCTTCGTTCTCATAAAAGCAAGGTCTGTTCTTGGCAAACCGTCGGCATTATGCTATCCGTGCTCATATTCAAGCCACCTTCAATAACTACTGTTGAGTCTTGGTGTCACGTGGACATACCGGATGAGGAGATAAGTACTGATACGTGCCTATAATTTAGATGTGGCCAGAGTAGCAAGAACGGAGGAGGTTGCCTGATGTACTTCCTTAACACTCTCACCGTATCCGAGTTAGAAAATGTGGTTCTTGACAAGACAAGTGACTCCCTATAGGTCACAACACACTACAGAAATGTTACGTCGCTGGTAGGATGTGTTTACAGGGCACCTGATACCCATAATAATCATAAGGTTCTGCTGATTACAGCTCTGGAACACGCATCCAGTCTCCTAAGTGACCACAAGTTCATACGCAGTGACTTTAGCCTACCTGAAATTAAGTGGGATTCACTGACTGGTCCGGCTAGGTATAACGACGTTTTCCGTACACTGGCAAATTCAGGATAGAAGCAAACCGTCACGACTCCTACAAGAGGTGATAGTGTATTGGACTTAGTATTTCGCCTATTTTGACGAATGTAGGCTCCAAGTTCTCAGGAAGTGACCACAAAACGGTATTACGCGTACTGCCACTTCCTCCAACTACTGCTTCAACTGGTACTTCCAC